TTCGGTTACCGCCTCGGCCCTTGCACTTTCTGCCACTGTGCAGACAACTCAAACCATTAATGAACTATAGGCCACTGTGACCATGGTCCTAGATAAACAGGCCACTGCCAATTCTCAGATACAAGGAGGTCTGATGTTGGTAAACCAACAGATTAATTTGGTTCAGGAACAATTGGATATATTGTGGCAGATGGCCCAATTGGGATGTGAACAAAAGTTGCCTGGCCTTTGTGTCACTTCAGTACAATATGAGAATTTTACAAGAGCAGCTAACCTGTCAAAAGCTCTGTCTCAACATTTATTACAGAATTGGACTTTTGAGTTTGAGCAGACACTCCGTGAGTTGAGAGTGGCGATCCTGCAAGTGAATTCCACGCGTCTGGATCTTTCTCTGATGGAAGGCCTCTCCTCCTGGATTTCATCTGCATTTTCTTATTTTAAGGAATGGGTGGGGGTGGGATCATTTAGCCTAGTTCTCTGCTGTGGAATAGTGTTGATGCTTTGGATGGTGTGTAAGCTCAGAGCCCAAACAAAAGAGACAAAGTGGTGGTGGCACAAGCACTTGCTGCCTTAGAACACGGAGCCTCCCCTGACATTTGGTTAACCATGTTAAAGCAATAGGTCGCTGGCCTCCCGGCTCTTGCACCCCACGAGGCTAGTCTCATTGCACGGGATAGAGTGGGTAGACTTCAGCAGCCCAAGGAGTTGCAAGGCTAAGCACTGCACAGGAGAGGTCTGCGGTATAACGACTTTCTCCTGGGAGATAAGTCATCTTGCATGAAGGTTCTATGTCATGATCTCCTTCCCCCAGAAAAACGACACCGGGACTGGTCAGGGCTCCCTCTGGGGATAAGACCCTGGAGAGGAGCTTTGTACATGTTCCAAATTTGCACATGGGGATTTGACCTCTATCTCCACTCCAAAGTTGTGGGTGTCCTATGGCTTCAAAAATAAATGAATAGGGGGAGATGTGAGGAGCCGCCCTCACTATCGCTATCACCATTAGAAGATGGCGCTGACATCTGCTGTCAGTTGGAGTTTACCGTTTAAGCTGTGCCTCACCCGTCATCTGGGGTGATGAGCAAACCACCAATCCCGGCTCTACACGTCTCACTCGGAGCTCCTAGGCTTATATAAGGGGCTGGGTTTCTTAGCTTGGGGTCTCCCTCTCAGAAGCTGATCATCTATCTCTCAAGATGTATTAAAGCTTTACTGCAGAAGGATCCGAGTGTCCTGCGTCGTTCTTGCTGGCGAGACGGTAGCGCGGGACACCAAACCCTCGCCTATGCTGTTTCTACCCTCTGTTATCCAAGAGACATAAACATAAGGTGTTTCCCTCTAAGTTGGTAAAGTTATAAAGACGTGATTCCTTCAGCTTTAGGCTTTTCTCCCCAAGCCATGTCCAAGCAAGACATGTCTTCAAAAAACCCAAGGCAAACAGTTCCCTTTGTGAGCAGGGGTGGATCCACATTGGGCTGCTCCTCCACTAATGGTGTGGATTGTGGGTCCCCTGCGTGGGGCCCAGGGGAGGTGAGACACAGGCTTTTTCAGTCTCGAGAGACTGAGCTGGGCAGGAAGGAGTCTTGATGAAGTGTGTCATGCCGAGTCCTGACGCCCTCCCTGTTCTCTCTTCTGGCACAGGCCAGCTTCACAAGGCAAGCCTGCGTCTACCTATCCTAGAGCTGTAGAGCAAAAGGCAACTCTAAGTGACAGAAGTAAAGTTAGGACCCAGATGACACTAAAGACTGCCCCTCCTAACTCCTCAGTTATGAGGAAGGAGGGACTTACACTCCACCAGTGTTCACCTGCCATGCTCCAGGGACACCCTGCAGAAGTCACAAACTGCCCTCCCTGCTGTCTGCACTCAGTCACCGGTGCTATTACTATACAGTGAGGAGCAATGTTTCTCAGATAAAGGGATCAGGAAAGGGCGCCTGCGGTTTCAAGAGGGAACTGTTTCTTTTTGTTTTGTTTTTCTTTTTTTTTTCTTTTTTGGTTTTTTCGAGACAGGGTTTCTCTGTATTGTTTTGGAGGCTGTCCTGGAACTCACTCTGTAGACCAGGCTGGCCTCGAACTCACAGAGATCCACCTGCCTCTGCCTCCTGAGTGCTGGGATTAAAGGCGTGCGCCACCAACGCCTGGCTTGTTTTTCATTTTTTAAAATTTCATTTACATTCCAACCACAGTTCTCCCTCCCACCCCGAGGAAACTGTTTTTACTTACTTACCTTGAGACTGAGATCGGAGTCTCCTGTAACAAGCTTGCCTTCAATGTCCATACGTAGCCCAGGATAGCCTTGAACTTCAATTGTCTCCATATGTAGCTGAGGATAGCCTTGAACTTCAATCTCCACAAGTAGCCAAGGATAGCCTTGAACTTCAATCATCTCCATATGATGTAGCTGAGGATAACCTTGAACTTCTGACCCTCCAGCCTCCCTCTTCCTGAGTGCTAGGACTACAGGTGCGCACCACCACATCTGGTTTACATGGTGCTGGGGCTTAGCAACCAGGGCTTTGCGCATGGTAGATGGGCATTCTACCAGCAGAGCCTTGAGAGGAAAATGTCTTAGGAAAAAGAGGTAGAAATGGGGGGCGGGCGTCTGCTTCTGACGATTTGTGCGCTGAGTGCTGTTTTGTGTAAACAGGCCTGTGTGACATCTCTGACTCCTTTAATCAAGCTGATTTCGTGAACACTTATATCGAGTCATCATCATCTCACATCCTGCGATCAGCAATCAAGGAGGGTATTTTGGAAGTGCTCAGAAATACCTCATAGCCGACCCCGTTCCCCTCCCACCTGGAGCCTGGCCGACACATCCATCAGCCTCAAGCTCAGGGCTCATTGCATATCCGATGTTATTAAGGAAGCAGTGGAACCCAACATCAGTCCTGCCTCGTGTTCCTCTCTTCCGGTGTGAGCTTTTTGGCTGTTTATTTCACCAGTTATCGATGTCAAATCAGGCCTGGGGTGATTTATAACTGGGCTAGATCACCCCAAGTTGGCTATTTGGGGACTACAGACATCACTGGGGGGCATGGCTCCCTGGTAGGGTGTTTATGCAGCATGTGAAAATCCTTGGGTTTGACCCCCAGTGCTGAGGGGTGAGGGGTGGGGGGATAGAGAGGAGGAAGGAAGAAAAAGAGAAAACGGGCAGGGGAAGGAGGGGGGAGGGAAGCGAGGGAAGGAGAGAAAGAAGAAGGTGACTGTAAGTAATGGTGCACACCTCTAATCCCAGCACTACAGAGGCAGAGACAGGTCTCTGAATTCAAGGCCAGCCTGGTCTGGAGTTCCAGGACAGCCAAGGGCTACACAGAGAAATCCTGTCTCAAAACTCAACAACAACAAAGGATGCACTGCTCTTCCACTGGACCCAAGCTCAGGCCCCAGCACCCACACTGGGCGGCTCGGAAGTGCCTGTGATCTCAGCTCCAGAGGATCTAATTAATGCCCCTCCTTTGGTCTTGGAGGGCACTTACACACGTGGGGCACACACATAAAAATGAATAAGAACGCAAGAGTGAGACAATGGAAATTTCCAACAAGTCCAATGAAAACTGGTCTTCAGCTGCAAGACTTCACCCTACATAATGGCGTCAGCATGTGGGATTGAATTTCCACGGAGAACGACAAAAGCTTTAAAGGGATTTTAGAAACAAAAGAACAGAGAGAAGCACGGCTTCTTGATAGCAGCATTTTTCTCAGGTGAGCTCTGTTTTGCTAGAGACAAGCAGAGACTCACGTGGCTCACTTACGGAAGTCTTCCTGACTCAGCATAAGCAAAAAACCAAAACCAAAACCAAAACCAAAAAACAGCAAGGTTCTTTTAAGAGGCTCTGCTAACGATTGAAAGGTGTGTAGGTACAGCTGGCAGTGGCAGCGACCACATCTCCAAGCCGGCAGCTTTTGCTGGAGGTCAGCATAGACTGAGGCGGTGAGCTGGAGTCAAACTTATGCCCACCATCTTGGAAAAACTGCAGTTTAAACAGTCATGGTTTTTAGCAGATAAGACCCGTGGTCAGAAAAACATAAAGATTTACAGTAAAGTCAGATTCAGATGAAGAAAAACCTCTAAAGGTTTACAGTGTGTTTAAAATATGTAAGACAGAGAGAGAGAAAGAAACGGCATAGTGGTAAATAAATAGAGAAGCCGGCTATGGTGGCGCACGCCGGTAGGATTTGCTCCAGAGGCAGAGGCAGGCAGGTTTCCAGAGAAACCCTGTCTCAGAGAAATAAATAAATAAATAAAAGTAAAAAGAAATAGAGTAATAATAATAGATAAATAAATAAACCACGTAAAGATGGAATATACACTGAAAGTCTGGATACTACACTATTGTGTTTTTTGTCCCTCACACACCTCAGTCTCTCTGGTGTCGAGGAGACACTAGCCAGGCAAACGGGGGACACCTGCATGCGTCCTGACCCTGCTGCTGCTGCTGTCCTTGGCTCTGGGTTGGAGTTTCCTCCATGAACAGTGACGCAGTCGGCTGGGTGTGGACATGTGCCTGTAATCTCAGCATTTGGGATACTGAGACAGGAAGATCAGGAGTTCAAAGCCATCCTCAGCTATTTAGTGGGTTTGAGGCAAGGCTGGGTTACAAAAGACCCTGTCCAACCAAAACCAAGTGATGAAGGTATTAAGCCCTCTCTCCCACCCATTACTAGGCAGGTCCAACCCTGGTTAGCTTCTGGGATCAGGTGAGTTCTGGGCGGGCTGCAGACTCAACTGAGCTCTCTCGAGCCTTTCCTCCAGCAGGAGGTCCTATTTCACTCTCTTACCTCCTGTGGATGTGTGTGTGCATGAGTGTGCATACAGGTGTGAGTATGTATGTGTGTGCTTGTGTGCATGATTGTACATGATATGTATCGTGTGTGTGTGTGTGTGTGTATGTGCGCCCGTGTGCGTGTATGCGTGTGTGTACATGAAGTACCAGCGAGAAAAACCCCGGAAAAAGACACTCCACTGCAGGTTACATGAACTCATGTAACGCTCATGATGGAGGAGGAAATACACCATTTATTTACAATCCCTTCACTTTATCCACAATTTCCCATACAAACATAAAACTAAAAAAATAAAACCACCACTTGGGGACACAAGTGTCTTTCTTTAGTTAATCTGTTTGAGGGAGGGCCACGAGTCCTCCCAACTGTGGAGGAGACTACTGAGGCACACCGAAGGGTAAGGGGGGAACGGGGAAGAATGCCTGAGAAACATTTGGATGAGGGACCTAACTCGCAGGGGTGAGGTGTGGCCTGCGGTGGAGTGACACAGGCCAGTGAACTAAGGGCGTCACCCCTAGGGACACCGCCTGGCCTCCCAAGTGGATGGGTGGCTACTAGGCTCCACCCTCCCTTTCTCCACTACCAAACACCAGTTGAGCATGGCTCAGTCAGCCCGTGAGCTGCGGGGAGTGTGATGGTGACAGGGACACCCAGTGACACTCTCTGGAAGAAGGCCCCACCCCTCCTGGGGACACACAGGGAGCGATCCCTTCTCTTGGCACTGAAGTGTCAGCCGGCTTCTGTCCTGACCACAGTGAAGACAGGCTGGGGCCACAAAACCTGAGGGAGGGCTTCTGCCTCCGCCATCCTTCCTGGGGGGGGGCTGCTGGGGGTGGGCAGAAGGAAGCTCCCGTGGATGAGGGAAGGACAGGCAGGTGTTCAGAGGCCAAAGGAGGGGAGGGAAGGAAGAGAAAGGCAGGAGGAGGGCAGAGACAGTGGCAGACAGCCCGTCTGAGGGCCACACCCTCCAGATGGCTCCCAGGCCCCAGGCTCCTCCCCTTAAGCCCCCCCCACCCAGCAAGTTCATCTGTGCTAATGACCTAGATTGCTTTCACAAGTCAGTGCACACTATAAATATAAAATCATATCTGCTACAAAGAGGACACAGATTTGTACACCTTTACCATATACATAATAACACAATTTATACATAATATCTTGGAGTGGTTCACCCTGGAAAAAGAGTTTGAAGAGGTGGTTAAAAAGAAGGAAAAGAATAAAACAAACCACCCTCTTTCCCTCCCCTGCCCTGGTCCTTCTCAAGGGACCATCAGCTGCTTGGTCCCTAGGGTCCTTTCCAACTGGTTCTGATGGGTTATTCTAGACACAAATTTAGACATGTGACAAAATGCTGATGGGCTTGTACACACGCACGCAGACACACACACACACACACACACACACACACACACGCACGCACGCACGCACGCACGCACGCACGCACACCAAATGTAGGAAAGGGAGAATGCAGCTCCTAGCCCCTGAGTGTCAGCCTCTCCTCAGGGTTATGAACATGGGTTCTCCTCCACCTGACAAGGAGGGGCTCACTCACTCTGTTGCTGGCTCAGCTGGGGCAGGAGGAGGAGGGGAAGAGGGGAGAAGGGTGGGACCAGGGTCTTCTGAAAACATAGTGTCCCTGACCTGTGACCAGATCAAATGGGTCACAAAAGCAACAGCATGGGAACCTAATACCCTATGCCTTGGCCATGAAAATTTGTGGTTTTTCCTGTTTGAAAGAAGAAGAAAAAAAGAAAGTAAAAGAAAACCAACACCAGGTGGGTCCTGGGCAGAACCAGCAGGTGCATGGACCGAGCCTCCCCGTCTTATGTCCAGGCCCCAGAGTCGGGCCCTCCACACGGCACGGAATACTGACAGTGGTCCCAGACACACATCCAGAGACACAACGTGGTGTATGCTGTGAAGTTAAGACCTGGGCGGTGGCGGTGGGCGTGAGCTTTGTACAGCAGGAGTGGTTCCTGGCCGGGGTCCGCGGCTTCTTGCACAGTGGCCACAGTGATGAAAGCCATCAGAGATGGGGCAGTCTGGTCCCCGGGGGAGACAGCACCTATCGGCGGTAATGGTTGGGGGCGTCTGCAAACATGTACTTGAGTCTGTACGCCTCGGCCAGCAGCAGCCCGATCTCCTCGTTGCCCCAGTGGATCGTAGGCAGGTTCTGCAGCAGCATGAGGAGGCCCTGCAAGGCAACAAAGGCCCAAGGGCCGTCTGTGACAGGACTGGGATGGGGCCCTCCCGGGCCACATGACCCCCAAGGTCCTGCCTCCTGCCTCCTAAACATCACGCGGCCCTGCCCGGCCAAACTCCCCGCTCCCCAGAGTCTCTGACCACACTAACACACACTCACACTAACACACTCACACTAACACACACACATTAACACACTAGCACTAACACACTATGAGCAGAGAATGACCACAATAAAAATGTAATAAACACCGAATTCCAGTTCAAGGACATCAGAGGCAATACAGAGAAACCCTGTCTTGAAAAACCAACCAACCCACTGCCTCCAACTTCACACGCCTACTCTGGGGGCATTCCTCTAGTCCTTTCCCATATATCTATCTGTTTATTTTTTTGTCTTTTTCAGGTTTCATTTTATTTTACTTTCAGTTTTTTGAGACAGGGTTTCTCTGTGTAGCCCTGGCTGTCCTAGAACTCACTCTGTGGACCAGGCTGGTCTTGAACTCACAGAGATCTGCCTGGCTCTGCCTCCCCAGTGCTGGGATTAAAGGCGTGTGCCATATCGGTAGCCTGGCACCAGATTTTATTTTTCTAATTTTTAAAATTTTGTTTATTGGTGTTTTGCCGGCCTGTATGCCTGTGTGAGGATAGCAGATCCCCTGGAACTAGAATTACAAACAGCTGTGAGCTGCCATGTGGGTGCTGAGAATTGAACCTGGGTCCTCTGGAAAAACAGTCACTGTTCTTAGCCAGTGAGCCACCTCTCAGGCCCAGGTTTTCTTTTAGCTTATTTAAGTTTTCCTATCTATTTGTGTCTCGTGTATGCTCTGCATGCATGCCCCAGCACTGGGGGAAGCTGGCCTCGGTGGCTTCATCTACACTCCCAGGCAGCAGGCAGGCAGCGGGCAGGGCGCTCACTGGGGCTTGGGTCAAGCAGCGGAGCCCAAGTGGCAAGCCCCAGTTCTCAGGGAAAGAGCCTGTCAAGACAAGGCGAGCTGGGCAGATGGCCCAGAGGGACTTGCCGTCCTTCCAGAAGAGCTGGGTTCAAGTCCTAGCACCCACGTGGGGGCTTAAAACCATGTAATCCAGGTCCAAGGATCCAACACCCTCTTCTGGCCTCCAACAGGAACCAGGCACACATGTGTGGTGCACAGACATACATGCAGGCAAACATTCACACACATGAAATAATAAATTTTAAAATCCAGAAATTAGGGCTGGAGAGATGGCTCAGAGGTTTGGAGCACTAACAGTTGTTCCAAAGGTCCTGAGTTCAATTCCCAGCAACCACATGGTGGCTCACAACCATCTGTAATGAGATCTGGCGCCCTCTTCTGGCCTGCAGGGATACATGCAGGCAGAACACTGTATACATAGTAAATAAATAAAAATAAATTTTAAATAATCAGAAATTAATTCAACCATGATGGTGCATGCCTTTAATCTCCTCAGGCAGAGCTCTGTGAGTTTCAGACCAGCCTGGTCTAAGAGTAAGTTCCATAATGAGTTCCAGGACAGCCAAGCCTACATAAAGAGAGCCTGCTCAAATACTTTCTTTAGATTTGTTTATACTGTGCAGATGGATGTCAGCTTTGTGTAGCGTGTGCAGGTCAGAGGGCAACCTTTGGAGTGGACTCTTCCCTTCTGTGTAGATCCCAGAGTGTGAACTCGGTCAGACTGGGCAGCAAGCACCTTTACCCACTGGGCCATCTCACTGGCCCTCATCCACACCCTTACTGAAAATTTCTAGTATTTCCATGAGTCCATGCTTTTGTGTAACCTGCAAACAAAACCAGCCAACATGAGTGCCACTCGGGAGAAGGGAGCCATTTCTGGGATGGGAGCGACCTCTGACTTCTAACTCTAGCTTTAGTAGAAGCTTTCTAGAAACTTCTAAATAAACTCTATCCCTGGTCAAGTGTTGCTTCCTCTTCCCTTGCAATAAATTAGTTGAAAGGAGCCACTCTGCCACCTGGTGGCATCGCTGGGAACTGCAGATTTCCCCTCTCTCCCTGCTCCCAACCCCACCCCACCGTAGCTTAGCACAACATCACAAAAAACGGAAAACACTCTTCAGATAAAGATGGAGAAACTGAATAAGCACAGCCATGGGACAGAGGTGCTGGTCACAAGTCAGGGGCCCTTAGCCCAGGTGGGAAGTGGACATTTCCAACCTCACAGGCTCTTCTTGCACAGCCCCTCCCAATGAGAGTCCCCTTTGCTTATCAGCTCCTTCGAGGACTGCATGGGTCTCCTACTGCCAACACAGACACTCTGTACCCCTAGGGCTCAGATCCGGCAAGCCAGACCCCACCCGCTAGTGTGCATGGCAATTATGACATCTTAACTGCGGGACCATCTCTCCAGCCCCCTACACTGGGACACTAACACTAACATTCATGCATGTATTTGACTAGTTATCTCCATTTGTATGTCCAAAGCTATTTTTTTTCTTTCTCTTTTGCAACAGAGCCTCCTGTAGCCCAGGCTGACCTCAAACTTGCCATGTGGCCAAAGATATACTTGAACCTGATACTTCCCCGAATGCTGGGATTACATCGTGTACCACCACACTCAGCCTGGCATTTTAATTAAACATTCCCAACATCAGCGCCCTGTTCTCCCTGCACATCTGGCCGGCTACACACAGGAGCCATTCTAAACCATCTCCCTGTCAATCCAAACTCGGCCCGTCAAAGGCCCCAAACACAGCCACTCACACCTCCACCGTCACCTCCCGTGGCCACGTGCCTGGTGGAGAATTACTCAGTGTCCAGGGTGACTGCTGTGTGCACACTGCCCACAACCTCCAGCCACACAGAAGCCAGGGTGTCTAAAATCACACCCACTCCAGACCCTTCCATCTTCGCTCCAAGAACGCCGGGGTGCCTGCTGGCCACAGCTTCCAAGCCGTTCCCGACATCTCTGACCTGACCTTACCCCACTCTTCCATTGGCCGCCCTGCTTCAGGACTCACTCCACAACCCTTAACCAGCCAGGCACGCGGCTGACTCACAGCGTCTTCCCTAGTGGCCACATGGCTTGCTCCCTTACCTTCTTCATGCCTTTGCTTATGTCCCCTTATGGGGAGCTCATCCTGACTACTTCCTATGGAACCGCAGCCTCCCCTTCCCTACCACTAAGGACCCTGCTGGACCATGCTGGACCATGCTGAAGCAATGCGTCCTTATCGCCCGGCATCTCTAAGCGTCCGCGCTCCTGTCCACCATGAGTGCCGTGGGGCTCAAGGGTGACTCTCAGGGCTGGTCCACAGTCAACGCTTGTCAAGAGACTGAATGAGGGGTCTCTTAGGCCTAGGCAGCTACTCTGCAGCCTTTTTAGGACAAAGACCCTTCCCACTGGCATCTTGCCCACCAGAGGGCAGCCTCCCCTGGGGACCCCTCCCTTCCACTCCCAGACAAGCATCCGCAGCAGCGTGTGCGTGCCCTCTGCCCAGCAAGGCCTCGCTGCCCCAGCCACGCACCTGAAAGTCTTCTTCATCCAAAATCTCCTTCCTCCACTTGATCAAGAAGGCCGCGCACACGTAGAGATGGAAGTGCGAGAACCCTTCTGGCTCAGACTGGGGAAGAAAGAAGAGTCAGGCAGGGCGCAGCCCCGCAGCAGCCCACTGTGGGCCTCTCGCTTCCCAGCCATCTGGAGGGGGGAGAACCCAGCCCGCCGCCCACTATGTGGCATGTGACAATGTTAAGTGACAGAGATGAAAAGGCCCGAGGCCACGGAAGTGAAGGTGGACAGGGGGACAGGAAGGGACAGTGGGGACAGGGAGGTCTCCGGACCTGGTAGGTGTCCCACAGGCGGATGGTGCAGCGCAGGGGGAGCTCCCGCATCAGAAGGTTGTTCATCCACCGAAAGGCAAACTGCAGGTACTCCACCTCGTACCTCCTGAAGTGACTGTGTACCTGCTCTGAAAGGGACACGACTCAGGAGCCACCTGCAGGCCTCAGGGACAGGAGCCAGTGCTGTTTCTTTCCAGCCCCCCCCCTTACAGATTGCCCTTGGCCCCATCTTCTCAGTGCGGCTCACATGAGCACACAGTATGACCACCTGGCCCCATCATCTCAGTGCGGCTCACATGAGCACACAGTATGACCACCTGGCCCCATCATCTCAGTGCGGCTCACATGAGCACACAGTATGACCACCATCTCACCAGGCCATTCCTAGGTGCCCTCTGGCTTCCTGGGGCTGCTCTGGCCACAAAGCAAGAGACATCAGGCGACTCGACTGCTGGGCCTAATTACTCCTTAGGGCAGGGCCAGAATGGAAAGGAACCCTGGAGGCCATCTTGGCCATCTCCTTTTGGCTTCCCCAACAGATGGCCAGCAAAGGTGGAGACTCATCAGAAGATCGTTTGTCAAGACAGGGTTTCTCTGTATTGTTTTGGAGGCTGTCCTGGAACTCACTTTGTAGACCAGGCTGACCTCAAACTCACAGAGATCCACCTGCCTCTGCCTCCCGAATGTTGGGATTAAAGGTGTGCACCACCACCTAACCCTATGTTCTCATTTATAAAATGGGATAATGAGGGACCATCAAGATGACTCAAGGAGTAAAGGCATCAGCAGCTGGTGCGGTTTTGCTGATGTTGCAGCCTTAAACTTTTTATACTGAGCATGTAGTTGGGGTATGTATGTCTGTGTGTTCATGTGTATGGTCTTGTGGGGGTCAGAGACCACTTGAGAATCAGGTTGTCAGGCTTGGCAGAAAGTTTAACCAAATGAACCAGCTTCCTGGCCCAGTGGACACATTTTAAAAAACCCCAGTATTTTCAAGTCTTTATTTACCTGAGCCAGGAAAAAAAAAAGGTACACAGCAGCAGAAATCACTGACTCTGCCCTCCGGAATCTAATGGATGACAAGCGCTGGAAGCCGTTATGTCCCCTAAAGAGGACAGCACACACCCCATACAACGCTCAGGGGAGCAATGGGCCTCACCATAGAGGGAGGTCTCTCTATGGAGGGAGGTCTCTATGGAGGGAGGTCTCACCATGGAAGGAGGTCTCTATGGAGGGAGGTCTCTATGGAGGGAGGTCTCACCATGGAGGGAGGTCTCACCATGGAGCGAGGTCTCTATGGAGGGAGGTCTCACCATGGAGGGAGGTCTCTATGGAGGGAGGTCTCTATGGAGGGAGGTCTCACCATGGAGGGAGGTCTCACCATGGAGGGAGGTCTCTATGGAGGGAGGTCTCTCTATGGAGGGAGGTCTCTCTATGGAGGGAGGTCTTTCTATGGAGGGAGGTCTCTCTATGGAGGGAGGTCTCACCATGGAGGGAGGTCTCTATGGAGGGAGGTCTCTCTATGGAGGGAGGTCTCCATGGAGGGAGGTCTTTCTATGGAGGGAGGTCTCTATGGAGGGAGGTCTTTCTATGGAGGGAGGTCTCTCTATGGAGGGAGGTCTCTCCATGGAGGGAGGTCTCTCCGGAGGGAGGTCTCTATGGAGGGAGGTCTCCATGGAGGGAGGTCTCTCCGGAGGGAGGTCTCTATGGAGGAAGGGTCTATGGAGGGAGGTCTCTCTATGGAGGGAGGTCTCTATGGAGGGAGGTCTCTATGGAGGGAGGTCTCTCTATGGAGGGAGGTCTCTATGGAGGGAGGTCTCTCTATGGAGGGAGGTCTCTCTATGGAGCGAGGTCTCTATGGAGGGAAGTCTCACCATGGAGGGAGGTCTCTATGGAGGAAGGTCTCTCTATGGAGGGAGGTCTCTATGGAGGGAGGTCTCTCTATGGAGTGAGGTCTCTATGGAGGGAAGTCTCACCATGGAGGGAGGTCTCTCCATGGAGGCTAGCAGCTGGGGCAGAGACTCAAAGGAAAAGCATTCCATTCTCCACAGAACACTACCGTGAGAGACACGTGAAGGTGAGCACAAGACCCTAGATCGTGGGGAGACAGAGGGAGCCAAACAAACCAGGAATGCTTCCATGACGAGAGAGCCCGGGAAGGAGAGAGAAACAGGCACAACCGTGCAGTGAAGGAGGGGAGGCTCTGACAGGAAGGAGGTTCGCAGCAACAGGCGGTCGTTAAGAAGGCACTACAACCGGTGTTGGTGGCTCACGCCTTTAATCTCAGCACTCGGGAGGCAGAGGCAGGTGGATCTCTGTGAGTTCAAGGACAGCCTGGTCTACAGAGCGAGTTCCAAGACAGCCAAAGCTACACAGGGAAACCCTGCCACGAAAAACAAACAAAAAAACAAAAAAAAAAAAAAAAAAAAAAAAAAAAAGAAAAAAGGAGCAGCAGCAGCAGAAGCCACTACAAGCTCACTGGTCTAAGGGATCTCAGCTTACAGGTTCCTCTGCTAGGTCGATGATGCAGGAAGATTCCCCATCCATCCACTCGCCCACCCGGCCCCTGGCTGCCTCTCTGGCCACTCCTCTAAGCACCTGGTCCTCCCAGACATCTGCCTGGGGTGGGGGTGGGAGCCGTACTGAGGTTCCCAGTGGAGGATGGGAGGCCACAGTGAGGTGTCAGCCAGATTTGGGGAGCCTGCATCAAGCCATGGATGCTATCAGCGTCACCGCATGACAGGTAAGGTCAGCCCAGAACCTGGATGCTAAAGGCAATGGGAAGCCATTGGTGGCTCCAAAACAGAAAAAGGGGGTCGCGAGAACCCTGCTCTGGAAACCAGCCACAAGGTGACGGGTAAGGGAGGGACAAGTTAGAGCGTGCAAGTCCTTCCAGGAGGAAGGTGTGCGCAGTAAAGCAGGACCAGGGCTGCAGACTAGGAGGGGAGGGGTGACCAGGGCACAGCTGCGGGGAAACTGAGGACTTGGTGACAGACAGGAGGTAGAAAGACGTTGGGACAACAGCAGAGCTCAGCCTTCCCGCCGAGCCCGAGACAGTGCTGGGAAGGCAGTGAGTTGCTGCCAGGACAGGTCTGGAAGGGAGCCGGCGAGGGTCACACTGGGCTAGCTAAAAAGTCAACCCTCTCAACCTACCATCGATCCGGCTGACAAGCTCCTCCAGGGCCTTGACCTTCTTCTGGATCCCCGGCTGTGCGAAGGTGTAATTATCCTGCAGAGGACGAAGAGCCTGGGGTGAGCAGTGTCCAGACAGATGCCTGCTGCACCAAGAGCTCATGCAGACACGGGTTGCTGTGCTGTGGTCACTGCTGAGTGTGTGTGTGTGTGTGTGTTCGTGTGTGTTCGTGTGTGTGTGTGTGTGTGTTCGTGTGTGTGTGTGTGTGTGTGTGCGCACGAGTGAGTGAGTGAGGTTTCATTCCTTATCTTGTGTTCTGAGATGGGGTCTCACTGAGATGGGAGCTCACAGATTAGGCTAGGCACCTCCCACCACCGCCTGGCACAAACACCTGTTTTATAATTTCCCAGCGCTAACAGCTAGTGACAGGTCTGGAAAACCAAGCGGTTCATGAACTGTAGCATGCGGTACAGGCTGGTGGAGTCCTGCTCTGTGGCGGCCCACAGGGTCTGGGTACACAGTGGAGAGCAAGGCCTCTCTGACCACAGCTGGGGTAGCACGGGGGTCTCCTCAGACTCTGGGGATGCTAGGCCATCGTCTAGTGGGCTAACAGAAGAGGCAGAGGCGCACTGGCGGGGTGGCTCACCTGGATCCCGTCCAGCAGCTTGCTCATGCACCAGAAGCTGTCCGCTTCGATGCTCCGCAGCATGTCCTGAGACAGGTTGGTCACATCAAAGTTCTCCACATCCTCTTCTGTAAAACAAAGGTGAAGAAGATTCAGAGCCTCATCAGAGACAGAGAAGGAGTATACTGTGCCCACAGTGTCTCGTAGTTCCCAGGGATCCCATCGTAACACTGACTGGACCGTTTCTCACTCAAACACAGCACACCTTGCTCTCCCTTGGCATTTACCATTTAGATTTTAAGAAAATGACCACTTGGGACTCTTGCTCAATAAGCCAAACCCAGCTTAACCCAAGGAATGGTCTGGAAATTCTCTGATTACAGATGGTCAGTGAGCTGTCTACCATACTCATAGGACAACTGGATCAGAGCCCCGTTCAACATAGGGATGGACTCCTTAAACACTGGGTTAGACTGGGTACATGTGTGGAAGGCTCTAGGACCTAATTCTATCCTGCTGGTATTTGTCACTGATATGGGACACACACACACACACACACACACACACACACACACACACGAGTTTTGTAGACAGATACCACTGAGAAACACTGTATTTCTTCATCAATATCTTGGAGACTCAACAAGGCCATACATATACCCATAGCATAAAAAAAAAGATACCAGGAGTTACAAGAAAGTGTCCATTAAGGGTGAGCCTCTTTTTAGAGAGGACACGAACTTAAAAGTGTGCCGTGTATGTGCAGGGACCTGCAGAAGCCAGAAGAGGGCGTCAGATCCCCAGGTGTAGTTAAGCAAGGCTGTTGTGGATACTGAACTGAACTCAGGTCCTTTGGAAGAGCAGGAAGCTCTCTCAACCATTGAGTCATCCTCCAGCCCAAATGTCGACCGACACCTCACAGAAATTACAGTTAGTGGCGGGATGAGAAGCTTACTGGTCCACGGCCCAATCAGAGGAGAATAAGGAACCCAAAGGAGAAGGCCAAAGGCACCCTGTGGGGGGGCTTCTTTAACTAGCCCTTCCTGCCACAGAGAGGGGTGTGGCAAGGTGGGCTCTGTCTGCCTCACAAGTGAGGCAGCTGCATGCCCGACCGAGGCCATGGAGACATGCCTAGGCCCTCAGCTCGGCACAAAGGGCGGCTCTTCTCCTCAGACCTGTCAGGGCTGTTTGAAAACAAAGTGCTCCCTGCATGCAGTCGTGCGTGTGTGCGTGCGTGCGTGCGTGCGTGCGTGCGTGCGTGCGTGCGTGCGTGGTCACAGGAAAACTTGGGGAAGCCTAGTCTCTCCTAACATGTAGATCTGGGGATTGAACTCAGGTCCTCAGACTTGGAAGCAGGCACCTTTATCTGATAAGCCATCTCACCCACCCAAGAACTGTTTTGTTGTAGCTTTTATGAACATCAAGGGCTACTCAGGGACAGAAAAGATAGACAATGGAAAACTTTGTTGGTAAAGTAAAACCCTCCACTCCTCAAACACAGGAGGCTCTCTGCACTTCCTGGGGTGGGGAGTGGGATAGCTCACTGCACTTCCTGGGTGGGGAGTGGGATAGCTCACTGCACTTCCTGGGGTAGGGTGTGCATAGCTCTTTCTCTAACTCCTGGGAGGATGGAGCTGCTCACACCGTGGAAAAGGCAGCAGAGGGGGAGGGCTCTGAAGGCCTTCATTCAGCAGCACAAACAAATTGTTTAGAAGGATCCCAGTGTCCACTTGAGGAAACTCCACACTTAATTGGAGCTCAACAGGAGAGCGCACCAGCCCCTCTGCCCCAGGCGAGGGCTGTGGCTTTGGTTCTCTTGAGAGTGTTTGGCAGCCTACAGAGAGGGAGTTTAAGGGTTTTTTTAATGGCTATTTTAAAAAGCAATGCATCCAAAAGGGGGAAACCAAAAAGCTCTTTATGAAAACAAAACTGCCCTCTCTGGGCTTGACGAGAACATGCTATTGATTGGCTGGGAGAAAGCACTGGAGCGGGAGGGGTGGGGGTTCCTGTCAGTGATTCTCAGCACTCCTAAAGCCCTGGCCCCGAGCAATCAGCAAACATGACCCTCAAGTCTGAAAGCCCCAGAGGGCTGGCTCTCCTCACAGCTGGGGGCTCACTGCTCCAGGCATTTCCCAGGGCAATCAATCCCACTTTGTATCAGGTGGGACTCAGTTCCTCAAAGCCACCAATGGCAGAGGCCTCACTGGTTCCCAGTTCTTTCTTCTCTCCTTCCTTCCTTTCTAAGAAACGTTAAGACTCCCTTACGTATGGCTGGGCGTTGGTGGTGCACGCCTTTGATCCCAGCACTCAGGAGGCAGAGGCAGGAGAATCTCTGTGAGTTTGAGGCCAGCCTGGTCTACAGAGTGAGTGCAAAGACAGGCTCCAAAGCTACACAGGGAAATCCTGTCTCAAAATCCCCTTCAAAAAAAAAATCCCTTGCATAAATTGAGCATGGTGGTGCACGCCTTTGATCCCAGCAATCGGAAGGCAGACAAAGGTGGGTCTCTGAGTTGAAGCCAGCCTGAGCTATACATTGAGTTCTAGGACAGCCAAGGATAACAGTGAGATCCTGTCTCAAAAAATAAAAAAATCCCTTGCACCGTATTTTCTGATCACAGAAGTACATTGGGGCTATCCCTCCAGTCCTACACATATAATTATAAATAAAAACAAGTCTTTTAAAGATTGCCAGTACCTCTCCAGGTTTCTTCTACTGTCCTGAGGTTCAATAGTTACCAAAGATCAGTAGCTGCTATTAGGTCAGTCTGTGGGGACTGGAATGGAGGACCCTTGATCACATGACCCCAAACAACATGGAGATTCAGGGTAAGGGGCAGAGGAAAGCCAGCAAACACATAACCTCCGGAGGTTTCTAATGATTGCCAGAGACTCACTGTGTGGAGAGAAAGCTAGCCTGACACCTTGACTTGACAAGCCACACCTGCCACTGGGACACTCACCCTCTCAGGGACAGGAAACCCAGCAGTGGACTCCCCAGGGAGCACTCACCCTCTCAGGGACAGGAAACCCAGCAGTGGACTCCCCAGGGAGCACTCACCCTCTCAGGGACAGGAAACCCAGCAGTGGACTCCCCAGGGAGCACTCACCCTCTCAGGGACAGGAAACCCAGCAGTGGACTCCCCAGGGAGCACTCACCCTCTCAGGGACAGGAAACCCAGCAGTGGACTCCCCAGGGAGCACTCACCCTCTCAGGGACAGGAAACCCAGCAGTGGACTCCCCGGGAGCACTCACCCTCTCAGGAACAGGAAACCCAGCAGTGGACTCCCCAGGGAGCACTCACCCTCTCAGGGACAAGAAACCCAGCAGTGGACTCCCCAGGGAGCACTCACCCTCTCAGGGGACAAGAAACCCAGCAGTGGACTCCCTGGGAGCACTCACCCTCTCAGGGACAGGACAATTGTATTAGCATTTAAGACAAAGAGGGGCAAACTGCAAACCCTGGCAGCTTCCAGGAGCAGGGGAAGAGCCACTGTGTCTGCAGTGAAGCCTGGCAAGCAGCTGTGGCAAAGGAGAGGGGCCTCAGAGAAAGACTGAAGCAGCCCACACCAGCTCAGACCCCAGGAGGGAGGGCTTGGTGAAGGTGTAATATCCACACAGCACACGCGCGCACGCACACACGTGCACGCACGCACACACACACGCACGCACACAGAGTTCAATTTTGACGGAGGAGAGCTCCCTGCCTACCCACTCCCAGGGGGATCCTGTCAAAGTGCGCTGGGTCCTGACCTCCAGCGCCGCAGCTGGTTTGTTCACTTTGGGCTCTGTATAAACGCAATCCCGTTGCAAGCATCAGCAGCATGCTCCTTTTGTGGCTGAGCACTACCCCACAGCATGAACAGCTGTGAATGGCTCGTGAGTTGTTTCAGCTTTTGTCTGAGAATGAAGCTGCTGTGAATGTCCTTGCTCTGTCTTGTTGATGAGTTTTCATTCTCTTTGAACAATCATCTAAGAGTGGAGGGCGGGATGCTTGGCTTTCTTTGCTTAGGTCTCCATCCCTGTCCCTAAGCGTACCCCTCCATGACTCTGGAGGCTGGCCTGACACTCACTGGATGCAGCTCAGAAGTGGGGGTACACTGCCCGCCCCCCAGCCACGCCTGGCATAGCTCCACTAGCTTTGGAGCATCCTGTGCCAACACCATGGATATGGGTCTCATTCTTCTATGAATGCACAGAAGCATGGAGGAGGGGGGATCTTCAGGTTCCAGGAGGATATGACGGATGGCATGCCTGTGGTCTCAGGGAGGGTTTCCAGGAGGACGGCTTCTCAGGAAGGAGTCACTCAGGGGACGAGGAGGGAGAGCACGATAAGGCTAAAGAGCCTGTGAGATATCTTAGCAGGCAAGGTGCTTGCCACCAGGCCTGAAGATCTGAATTTGATTCGTGGAACCCATGTGGTCCAGAGAGCTAACTGACTCCTCCAAGGTGCCCTGTGCCCACACCAGACACACACATGCACACACACACACAGAGGCACACAGGGGCACGCGTACACGCACACACACAGGCACACACACACACAGGCACACACACAGGCACACAGAGGCACACAGAGGCACGCACAAGAAAAGGGAAGGAAAGAAAGATGACCCATGCCTCTCTTCCCTTCTTCCTCCACGCTGGCTGGCATGTAGAAGTGACGACACAAACGTGTACTCTGGATCATGAGAAAGAAGCTCCGTGGCCCCAGACTACTCCCCGCGAGAGACACAGGCTCTGCTGTCTTACTTAAGGCTGTCACATGCACACAAGTTAGCCCAGACCAGATCTGAGACACCCAGGGAGGGATGGTCAGAGTCTGGGAGGGGCGCCTCATTGGGGCTGCAGAGCTATTGTATCACACCGGTAAGTAAGCTCTCCAGTGGAGTTCCAGCTGGCCCACTTCACATGGAGAAAAAGAAGCCAAGTGGCGGGGTAACTGCTCACTTTGCTGGAAAGCAACTACTTCTTCAGGTAGGCCATGTTGGGCTGGCAGGATGGCTCAGTGAGTGGCTAAGAGCTCTTGCTGCTGAGCCTGGCAACCTACGTTCAATCCCTAGAGTTCACATGGTGTAAGCAGAGAGCCAACTCCCTCAATCGTCCTCGGACCTCTACACACTGTGGCATGTACATGTACACACAGACACACAAAATAAGTAACTCGAATTCACTTACTCAGTTCAAAATTAAACTGACAGCACTGTGCAGGACCAACACCCTTGGCGATGAGTCTAGCAGTACCCCAGTCTCAGGGTGACCCTCCAGGACTGCACGCTGGGCCTGGCATTATCTGCAGGGGACCCAGTTTTACAGAAGCAGTGGCTTCCACGGTAGAGACACTGCTCGAGGCCAAGCTAGCTGTGGACAATTTCTCTACCAATTCCAAATGGGTCCAGCACGGGGTTTGCTGCCCTCGTATCTGTGCAGCAAATACGACAGAGCACAAGGCAAACGGGGAGGCTAACTAGGTAGTTTATGAAAGCCAGAGGGCCAGCAAGACGGCTCGGGAGGAAAAGGTGACTGCCACCAAGTCTAATGCCCCAGTCCAAGCTCTGGGACACAGATGGTAGGTGAAAGCCAAGTCCCAATAGTGTCCCACGATCCACATGTGGTACACACATACACACACACACACACACAGACACACACACCCCACACACAGCATACACACACACACACAAATACACACAGACACACACACCCCACACACAGCATACACACACACACACACACAAATACACACAAATACACACACAGACACACGCACGCACACACACACACACACACACACACACAAGAAGTGTTTTTAGGGGCTGGAGAGATGGCTTAGGGGTTAAGAGCACTGACTGCTCTTCCAGAGGACCTGAGTTCAATTCCCAGCAACCAAATGGTGGCTCCCAACCATCTGTAATGAGATCTGGAGCCCTGCAGGCATACATGGAGACAGAATGTTGTAAACATAATACACTAATTAATTAATTAATTAAAAGAAGTGTTTTTAAAAGGAGTACAGAGCCGGGCGCTGGTGGCACACGTCTTTAATCCCAGCACTCAGGAGGCAGAGGCAGGTGGATCTCTGTGAGTTCGAGGTCAGCCTGGTCTACAGAGTGAGTTCCAGGACAGCCTCCAAGACAATACAGAGAAACCCTGTCTCGAAAAACCAAAAAACAAAAAGAAAAAAAAAGGAATACAGAGAGATAAAGAAAACAAGTACAATTTATACATGGTGTTGAAATAATCTGCCATTTAACTGGAATAGTAATTTTGAATCTCAATTCCTGACACACAGGAAAATGAATTAGAGAGAGAGAGAGAGAGAGAGAGAGAGAGAGTGTTCTTCCAGAGGTCCCAATTTGATTCTCAGCACCCACTGGTGACTCACAACCATCTATAATTCCAGTACTAGGAGATCCAATACTCTCTTCTGGGCTCCACAGGCACCAGGTACACACATGTTGCACTGATACACATGCAGACAAGGCAAACACTAATATAAACAACAACTGGGTGAAGAGCTGGCCCCATGGGTAAGAGCACTTCCTGTTCTTGCAGAGGGCCAGGGTACAATTCTCAACACCCACACTGGGCAGCTGTCAAGCACCTGTAAATCCAGTGTCAAGGGATCTGCTGCCCTCTTGTGGCCATTGAGGAGAACACCTGCGTTCGCATGGTAAACACATAGACAAGCACAAGTGCACACACACAATAGTCAATTTTAAAATGTTTTAAAGAAGAATCATCGAGGACCTGGAACTGCACTGCCTACTTTGGCATGGAGGACTGTGCAGGCAGTGCCATTGGACGTCAAGGATAAGACTCTAAGTTCAGCTGTGATCAAGTCACCAGAAGGGCAACGCACCAAGGTCAGAGGGTGTGCCCTGGAGTTTGGGAAGCTCATTAAGCCACTCGCCCTTGGATCTTCCAACCTGTAAGACAGGTTGAGACATCCAGCTTCCAGAGCTGCCGGGACCTCTGAGACCCACGGGTATGTCACAGCACTTTGCAGGTGCTGGCTGACAGCTGTAGAAAGGGAGAGGGAGTTCCGGGGTCCCTCCCGGTGTTCTTTTCTGCAGGTGAGGAGTTTCTGCTTGTTCTTTGATCTTTGAGACAGGGCTGCACTATGCAGTCCAGGCTAGCACTTGCCACCCTCCTGCCTTGCACTGAGATTACACATGGGCCACCTGACTGCCGCTTCTCATATCTGGATCCCACATAAGCCTCTCTCTGTTCACCGGACAAAGAGAACAGCCCTGGGCACACATGGATTTTTTAAGCATAGCAACTGAGGAGACTCAAGGGGAAAAACAGACTCCTTGGTTTCTTTTAAGAGTCTGCTTGACTGAGCTGGAGGAAGAGGCTGGGGCGATGTGCGGGGAAGTCCCAGCATGCTCTCCACAATGACAAGAGCCCAGCAGGGTCAGGGCAGGAGAGTGGGGAGACTGGGGTCCCAGCACCTTCAGGCCCGCTCCATCCTCCAGCATCCCCTGCGTGCCCACACCCTACTCCTGAGATCCAGCATGGATGCTGGTACTTAATCTCAAATGCCCACATGGGCACTGGGTCTGAGACACATTTGGAGAATCCTAAAAATAACCCAATGAAACCATCAAGCTATGTGCTCATGAGAACAGACGTGCGCCTGCTGGGCTGCTGTTGTGAGGAGCAGGTCTTTGGAGGTGAGATTTGTGATCATCTCAAGAGAGAAACTCCAGGACGCCGCCGCCGCTGCCCAGATAGCTGTGGGTATAGAAAAAGGGCGGCCTGTCTCGTTCTTAGCAAGACCCTGCCACCAGCGGCACACTTGGGAAACAAACAGCAGATGGCAGACAGGAAAGCAACAGTGTATTCACATGGTTGTGCTTCTTACCCACATATTCCGAGAGGAAGACGACAAAGAACGGAGTGACCAGGTCGTTAATTCCCTGGACATAGCCGCTGGCGGGGTGTCGGATGGCCCAGATAAAGAGAATTCTTTCAAATATCTAGGGAGACGAGAAGGGAAGGAGTGTTAATCTTCGCACACACTCCTTCCTCCACTCACTCACTCCGCCACTTATCTTGGGATTAACTGATAAGAACAGATACTACACTTGATCTTAGCCAAAAGGCCGAGAAGCGATCTTGGGATTAGTGAAAAGCTTTAGGAAAATTTAAAATGCTGTGGGACCAATAGGGAGAAACAGAGAGAGCTTGGGACACGTGAGTTGTTCTGCTCAATGCTCCTCTGTCTTTTCAGTATCTGGTGGTCATGACATATAAACAGGGAACAATGGTGATGGGGATTACAATCTCAACTGCTTCTCTAGTTCCGGGAGTAAGGTATTTCACATGCCCGCTCTGCTGTCTCTTTCTAAATCTTCCTTAATGACTGAGGAATCAGAGGAATCCACTGTGAGAGGGAAGAGGTCAAGATTCAGTTCTGGGGGCTGAAGACATGGCCCCCAACCATCAGCGACTTCAGGGGATCCAATGCCCTCTTCTGACGGCCATGGACAGCAGGCACGCATGTGGGAACACAAACACAGGCAGCAAGACACCCACACACACAATAAAATCTTAAAGATAAAGACACAGTGCTTTCTGGTCCGGTCTGACGAGGACTGCTGACAATCTGTTTTCACAGGAAGTCCTCTGCGCATCAGGACATCCCCACACATGTGCTGGGGAAAGTCTGACAAGATGGATCTGCAGGTAAAGATCTTCATCACTAAACCTGGCAACCTGAGTTTGGTCCCTAGGACCCACATGGCGAAAGGAGAAGGTGATGCCTGGCAACCTGAGTTTGGTCCCCACACACATGCCCATGTGTCCTCTGCGTGGTGTCCTTGTTTATGGACCTCTCTGAGGGGGTCCTCTTGCTCTGCCCTCTCTGTCCTCTGTGAAGGGCATCTTCTTGCACTCTGTCCCCTATTGCTAAAGGACCCCCTTCCCACCCTCTCAAAAATGTAGCCCAGGCTAGACCCACTGTGTTCTGGAAAAACGGCAAGAATTCCCAGGTGTACTATTTTCTTCCATCTGTCACCTGCATCTATCTAGTGCCTCGTGTGGAACACTTGTCTAGCACATGAGGCCCTGGGTTTGATCCCCAGTGTCACAAAAGCAAACAACTGTCTCCAGGTCAGCCTTCTGGAAGGACTTTTCCATGGCCAACCTCACGGAAGCTGGCTGCTCACGGCAGGCGAGTAGCAGCGCTCTTCAGGAGAACGAGTGACGTAGACGCACTGGGAGAACGCAGGCTCTGTGCCACAGGAGGGGCCTGCAGGCACTGCCCCATCAGGAGAAGAGGGTGGACGCAGGGCTTCCCACACCTAGCTCCTCCGCTAGCGGGGCAAGTCAGACTCCAGCGTCAGCATCAGGGCTGGGCTAGCTCTCTGTGCCTCCGCTGCTTAAGATGACAACATCCCTCACACAGGGTGATGCAAGACTGAAGGGAAGGGTGTGGCCTTCACTCCTGGGAGCCAGGTTCCACTCGCAAGCGGCGCCTGTTGAGCCGCTATTCACGTGTCTACGGTGAGAGCGGGCACACGGGAGAGAAGGAACGGCAGGAAGAGCGGGCACACGGGAGAGAAGGAACGGCAGGGAGAGCGGGCACACGGGAGAGAAGGAACGGCAGGGAGAGCGGGCACACGGGAGAGAACGGCAGGGCCCTGACCATCTCAAGGTGGAAGGAGGAGAAAGTGGAGTGGAGGAAGGGACGGCATCTCAGCTCTCTGCACTGCATCTCTAGGTGAGAGAACGACACTCCCGCAGTCTTCCCTTTGGTGTGGGAGGCTACGATGGAGCCCAGCAGGAGAGACATCACACTTAAATGGAGCCGCGGATATCATCCAAAGCCACGGATCACTCCTCCCTCCGCCCCTCTCTATTATCAAGAGAACGGAAAGCTCACTTCAAAGTCCCCGATGCCTGTGACCTGACTGCAGCGCAACTGCAAGGAAGCTGCTGCTCTCACGGGGTGAGCATCTCCGCTCAAGGCATGCTAAAGTCCCACTGGAACCTTCCATGGGCTTCATTAACTTGAGGTCTTGAAACATCACTGCCAATGTCACTTCTGGACTTAGTTCCAAAGGAATTAAAAACAGGGCCGACAACATATTTGCAAGCCCGTGCTCATTACTGCATTAACCACCACAGCCAAAAGGGACAAGCAACCCACGTATCTACACTTATGTGACGGAACATGTAAAAAGTCATGGGTGGGTGGAGGGGTGGCTCAGTGGGTAAAGCTACACCTGCTGACGAGACTGACGACAGGACCCACACAGTGGGAGGAGAAAACCAACCCTGGTCAGTGGTTCCCTGCCTCCACACACAAACCACGGTGTGCCCTCCACAATGCAAACAAACAAATGCAATAAAAATGTCTAATGAAGGCACTTCTGACACTGAATTCAGCAGGACACAGAATGATAAATATTGTATAACTCTACTTAGTTGAGGTATCTAGAGTGGTTACATCCACAGGCAAGAATAGAACGATGATGGCAGAGGGAAGGGGACTGTTATTTAATGGGCACTGAATTAATTTGGGAAAACTGAAAAACATCTGGAAACAGATGGAGGTGATGACCACAGAACAAGCCGACATGCAGTGCCCTGGTTAGGTGCTTCATGTGTCCCATCACAGTTAAAGAAAATCATCATCATCCCGGCTTTAAAGAGCAGGGCAAACCCAGGAACAGGCTTTAAGTGCGAGGCTGACTGCCTCCAGCTTCCGGGGGAAGCGCTACTTGGTACCCAGGCTGAAGGGCAGCTGAGAGTGCGTGAGGCCGTGGACGTGAGGAAACAAGCAGGAGCCACGGCCTGGGCAGGGGAAGGAGCAGACAGCAGGGACCCACTCACCTCCTGGACGAGTGGCTGTTGGAACAAGGGAATCAGAGGGTTCGTCCTTGGGATGTCAATGTGAATCTGAAAAACAGAAGGCACAGCCTAGACCTGAGGCCACAGTGTCTAAGGCGCCAGAGTCACGCGGAACTCAGAGCGCAGACAAAACCCCGCTAGATCCACCGAGGAGGAGTATGTCCCCTGTAAGCCACAGCGCAGACAGGAAACACCCCAAATAAGCACCTAATCCAACAGAACAGGCTTCTCCCCTGAAGCAGCCCCAGCTCTCCTCTGGATCTCTGGATTAAATCTGGGATGGTACCTGTTTACCAGACATGACCAAGTGTGTACCCCTTTCAGGATCTTAGTTATCCACAGATCCTGAGAGTCTGGGGTGGTGGTACATGCCTGTGTTCCCAGCACTCGGGAGGCTGAGGCCCAGGTTGGAGGCTGGCTTGGAAGACAATGTAAGTTCAAGGCCAGCCTAGACAACCTAGTGAAACCCCGTCTCAGAGACCAAACTGGGTGTGGGTGTAACAGTGACTACAGCACTCCTGGAATCTCAGGACCTGAGATATAGAGGCAGGAGTTTGAGGCCAGCAGTGAGTTAGACAAACCAGTAATACATAGCAAGACCCTGTCTAAACAACAAACAAAACCCACAACTACTGCTACAAATGAAAAGAGCCCCCACTGTTGCTAAAAACGTGCTAAAACAGGAACAGGACGGACTGCTCACGGGGCCAGAGAGTGAGGAAAAGTCAGGGCAGCTGGCCTCCAGCAAGAGTGAGGCGCTCACTTCTGCCACCCAGGAGGTCCCTGTACTTAGCAGCGGCTCTGAGGCCGTTCCAACGCCCAGGCTGACGTCCTAAAGACTGTGTCCAATTAAAAGAGGTGTGTGGGGGGGGCTGGAGAGATGGCTCAGTGGTTAAGAGCACTGACTGTTCTTCCAGAGGTCCAGAGTTCAATTCCCAGCATCCACATGGTGGCTCACAACCACCTTGAATGAGATCTGGTGCCTGGCATGCAGGCAGAAGACTGTATACACAATACATAAATAAATAAAAAATATTTAAAAAAAGAGGTGTGTGTGTGTGTGTGTGAGTGATTTGTACACACATGGAAGATGAGAGAGCACCACCACTGACCAGTGCTAAAAAACACATCTATCTAAAGATATAAGTAGCACGTACCCATAACCCCAACAATCAGGAAGCTGAGGCAGGTTCAAAGTCAGCCTGAGCCACTGAGTGAGGTGCTGTCTCAGAGAAAAAAAAATCAGCAGTGGCTTGGCAGTTAAGAGCATTTGCTGCTCTTCCTGAAGACCCAAGTCTGGTTTTCAGACCCATGTCGGGCAACTCACAACAGTTTCTAACTCCAGCTCCAAGGATCCAACACCCTCTTCTGGCTTCCATGGCACCTGAACTCATATCCACACACATGCACACACATACACATAGATAAAAATGAAAATGAATTTTAAATGCACACAGCGTATGTGTGCACATGCACGGTAAGTTCTATTTTAAATCCGGAATCGGAGCTGCTGAATGGGAAGAGGGAAGGGAGTTCCAGACACACAGGACATGTAAATGCACAGGCAAGCGGCCCAGGGGCACAGACGCCAGCAGACCACAGAGAGCTTACCTGTCTGTAGGTGTCTTGGTGATGCTCCTCGTTCCGAGAGTCGTAATACTGCTCAATGAAGCCAAAGTACTCCTCCCTCTTCCGCTGCAGGGTCAACTTCCGCCGCTCAGTGTTTGCCGGGAGATAGCCCTAAAGACAACACCACCCGTCAGAGGGTGGCTGAAAACCACCAAGGAACAGAAAGAAGACTGGAGAGAACAAGGCAGGTCCCTTGTGGTCCAAGGTAGTGGACCCTGGGTGGCAGGTGAAGGGAGGCCAGCTTTCCAGACTTGGACCCTGGGTGGCAGGTGAAGGGGGGCCAGCTTTCCAGACTTGGACCCTGGGTGGCAGGTGAAGGGGGGCCAGCTTTCCAGACTTGGACCCTGGGTGGCAGGTGAAGGGGGGCCAGCTTTCCAGACTTGGCTATTGCTCTGGACACACACCTCACACTGGGCGGCTCCTAGAGTTAGCACCACTAAGCAGTAGATGGAGGTCAGCGGAGGGAGCTGGACCCGAGTCACAGTCTCCAAGGGAATTACAAGGATCTGTCTACTTCTGTGACTCGTCTTGGTACGGATCACACGCTCTTTTCCAGTGTAACACTGGGAACCACAGCCCGGCAGGCTGAAGCAGAGTCAAAAGCCTGGGACAGAACTGGCAGCTTCTGGTCTCTTTCCCAGCCTGGATCCCATTCTTACTCCTAAATATCCTGTTCCCTTTCTGCTTGCCAAATTCATTCTGAGCCGCATCTGAACTTGCTAGGAGTGGCAGAGGCACTGGGGGGAGGGGACAGTGACAAGAGACCCTCCCTGTCAAGGCATTATATAGTGCATTCCATAGTGAGTGCTTGGAGAACAGGCACAGGGGCTTGACGGATCTGGGGTATGCACACAGCAAACAGGCCTTTGGACACCTTTACTAAATGATGGAACAGATTTCAGAGGCTCAAAATCAAGCAGGAGCTGTTACGGTGAAAGTGAGCCCAGTTCAGCTTCTGAGAGGCCGGCAAACTGACCTTTCAGAGCTGGGAGAAGGACTTCGAACACTCAGGCCAGCGCTGGGGTCCTCCTGCTCAACTAGATCCCTCCCCACTGTTAAGACAGTGACATTGTGACCACAGGAGCCAGCGCCTGACCTCCACATATGGCTGGAGGAATACGCTCACGGGCAGGTGTGGGAATAAACACTCAAGCCCAGACCAACCTTGGCAGGCAGGGCCGTGTGAGGCCCACAATTCTCCTCTTTGTGGGTGGAACTCACCGACAGCAGTCTCCAGGTGACGGGTCGAACTTCCCTGGGAACCCCTGGCCAACTCCACTTCCTCAACTCATCTACAGGCAGAAAAGTCTCACTGAAAGAGGTTTCCCCACAAAGGCCCCAAACAAACCTTGGCCAGATGCCTCCCACCACTGAGTATCATCACCACCCCCACCTAAAGACAGGCAGGGAAGGCTCCAGACCACGGCCCCGAGCCGCAGGAGGCCCAGGGCACCTGCAGCAGTCATCTCTCAGAGCAGCTGTGGCTGTGTGGAGGGAACCATGGAGCTGGCCTGGCCTAGCTGCCTTGAGAGGCACGCATCCAACATCTTTCAGGTTAGAGCCCCTGACTCCTGAGGCACTGAGTGCCCTTCCATTCCTGAGAGACCAAGGCACGCCGTCAGGCAGTGAAGCATTCGGGCCACCAGTGTATCTCTGTTTCCTAGATGTCACAGAAGCACACAGGAGTCTGACAGGACAACTGGTCTGAGACATGAGTCTCACGTACCCTATGTAGCTTGCAACACAGCTTGTAAACGTTGTACCCTGGCAACCACCACTGCATTCGGTTTCTGATAAGGGAATAGAAATTCTGATTGCTTGCAATAAACTTGCCACAGCCCCAGTCCTGCTGTGATCCCTCCAACCCGACCCAGTCAAGATCCATTTCTCTTTGTCCACATCAGGTAACCTTGGCCCAGTAAGTAAGCACTGGTGCTCACTGATGTGGGCTTGTGTGGGAACCCCGGGGGGGGAGCAGAGAAGGAGCTGGCGTAGGTGCTCCATGGTCTGCATGGGGACCCCAGTGTCAGCCATATTGACTCTGGTCCCTAACTTCTGATAACAGACTTCTATTGAAATACCCGTGCACCACTGCACCGGCACCGCACTGAGGGCTGCCAGAAAGCAGAAGGTGGCAGAGGGTAGAAGTTTCTACCCTCTGAGGACCCAGTCACCATGGCGCCTATCTTGCCCAGGACTTTCGGGAACTCACCTAAGTCGGTGTTGTGGCTGGAGAGTAGCTGCCGGAACTTTTCTAGGCGGGTTTTCTCCCGGACTGTCATTGGAGGGGCCCCGGAAGCATTCTGGTCAGAGATCCGGGCAACAAGGGGGATGATGGGCCGCAGAGGGAGAGATTGCTGTTTGTGGAGTGGGTTCCTCAGGCATGTGTCACCTGAGGGGAGTTGAAGAGAGAGAACTGTGTGGGACGGTCATGGATCAGACATCCTAGCGACTGCTTGGGCGATGGTGTGGTGCCTTCTCCAGGACAGGGGCTGGGCCCGGGGCACTGCCTGAGGATCCAGCTGAGGGTCCTCAAGAGGGTGAGGCCAGCAGGGCTCTACTCCCATGCAGATGACAGCTGTGGCCAACTGACTGTCCCGGGGCCAGCCAACTCCAGATGCTGCAGTAAGTTCTGAGAATGTGTGTGGTGAAACCAGAGAAACTCCTCCTTTTTGCCTCAACCTGGACCTCTCCGCACTGTCTCGGGGAGTGTGGTGGCCACCCAGCCTAAGGCAGAGGGTTCCTTGCCCCTCCGCACACCAGAGTGCATGAAAGGCTAAGCCCTGACCCCACAGAGCACTGGCTGCCTCTACATCCAGGTCCAACCGCAGTCTGCCTTGGCCCACCAAGAGCCAGCCCTTTGAGGCGGGTAGGGAGCTCCGGCTTCAGGCAACCCAGTGCTGAGCACTCGTTGCTCTGTGCTCCACGTCTCCACTCAGTGAACCAGCTCTGGATTCTGCTGAGCATTACCACTGACTGAAGCAGCGGGAGCAGCAGGAGCTCTGTGCCCTGCTGTGGATGGTCTAATGGGGGGGGGGGGGTGCAGGACTAGCATTCACTTGCTACGTAGAAGGCACCATGCTGCCCATTTCAGCATGCTCTCCCAAATGACCCCTATGATGCCTGCTAAGAATGGATAGCTCTGTTACAGAATGAACTCAGCTGGGGAAGCGGAGGAGATGCCTTGGAGCTGTCTGACTCCTCCACTCTAATTAATTGCCACAAAAATTTTTGAGGACAGACCTCTCAAGGCTGGGTCACATTCCTCAATATCTGGGCCTTAAAATGCAAACAGTAAACCCTGAACAGGAACTAGCCAGCATGGCGGAAGCTTCCGACAGCTGCCACAGGCACTGGCTGGGATGCCCACAGTAACAAGCGGAGCCTAGAGAACGCAAGCCTTGCAGCAAAGCTTAGACAGGTGGACATTAGCACCCACTGTTGACAGACAGATGCATACTGAGGGGACCTCCCCAGGGGGACATATGGGGGACCTGGGTGCACAAGGTAGCCTGCAGGGATCATGGCAGGGGCCTTCCTGTCACTGGGAACCTCGGTCATAGCCTGAGCCACCTGGTCAATCAATGCTGAATGCCTGTCTCAGACTGGCACTGAGGGTTCAGGCTGACTGACCCTGTGTCAGCAAAGGCAAATGACAGAATTGCAGTAAAGACCCTACCTACGGTTAAGTTGCATGGCCTCGTGAGAGATCTGAGCTGTGAAAGAAACTCAGAGCCTGAGGGAGGCCACACTCTGGGGCTTTGACATCCTCCATCCTTTATGCCCACGGCCTGTGAGCCTTTGTAAATGTAACCAGGACAAGGACGCTTCCCTGGCCAGCTCAGAGTAGCCGACTTGCTTGCACAAAACCCTTTGGAGCACCATTAAACACAGCAATGAGTCCTTAAATGTACACAGGAAGTCACCAGACATCCAAAACCACCATCATCCCCAGTAGTAACTGAGGCCAGTTTCCAAGATTAAGAAAACAAAACAGCCGGGTGGTGGTGGCTCACAGCTTTAACCCCAACACTTAGGAGGCAGAGGTAGGTGGATCCCTGTGAGTTCAAGGCCAGCCTGCACAGAGAAACCCTGTCTGAAGCGGAGGAGGGGGTGGGGACGGGGGTGGGGAGGTAAGAAACAAGACAAATAGATCTTTCCCCCCCTGCCACCTGGTGGGCAGTGACTGTCAGGTGGCTGTGACCTGGTCCCCAACACATGCTTTTTGAGTCACAGAAACAGGGAAAAGGCCTCCAGAGGTGGGCAGCTGTCCCCAGGGCTGAGGAGGTAAACCATTTGTGAACTCAGTCACTGACCCCTTTAAATACATTTGGTCAGTTCTTGTACCCCTGACCAGGCCTAGAGCAATGTGAAACAACCTCCCAGGGAAAGCTGTGGGTGCAGCTGCAGGAAGGGAGAAGAGGAGAGAAGGCAGGGCAGTTTCTATGCTGGGGAGTAAAGGCCCAGAGGGAAGGGCAGGGACGCCAGGCACCGTTAGGCTTGCAGGTGTCTACTTCAGGCTCGCAGGAACGACTTTTTCTCTAGCTGCCCTCTACTGAGAGGCTGAGGCTATGGGGGCGGGCACTCACTGGAGTTGCGGGACAGCTGGGCGTCACTGCTGGACTTTATGACCTGGTAGCTGGCGGGGACGTCTGATGTTGTCGACTGCGACCGTTCGGGTTTTACCCTCAGCTTGCTGTGGTTCTCTAGGACTTGGGCCGCAGTTGCCAAAGCCACTTTTGAGTTCAGGGTTTGGAAAGGAGGCGAGGAAAAGCCATCTTCCTCGTCATCGCCTATGTCCCAGGCGTCACTGGTATTCCGGGCAAACTCGTGGAAACTGGAGGCCTTCTTGCTCTTTAGAGGAACTGAGTTGACTTTTGACCGTTCTTTGATGAAGCTTCAAGAAAGGAGACGGCATTACTGAGCAATGTGACACACCTGACCACCTTTGTTAGCATTTGTCATACAACAACGTGACCAACTACCCGTCCCCCACTCAGAGCCACTACTCATCCAGGGCCTCCCACAGATGCAGAGCCAGGGCCATCGGCTCTCCACACGCTTACTTCCCAGCATCCTCCAATTCACGAAACCATCCAGACAGTCTAAGCTAAGAGAAGTGAGGCAGACATGCCATGCTCCTAGCTGCCCCATAGCCCTCCTGGTCACGGTGCCCTCAAGGTTCCAGGTAGTAGGGCCTCCCTCTGTCCGAGTCACTGAGTGACAAAGCAGACCACAGCCTGCCCTCCACCCTGGTCCCACCCCACTTCGGACACACATAAGCAAGCACTAAGCCTTAACTGTAGATCCATGAGGTGTCAAGTGGATTCGTTATGCCACCGTAAGCTAGAGTTGCCGTTGGAGTAGGATGTAGGCTACGGGCAGGGATTCGGGATGGGGGGTGGGAGTGTGAGGGGGAGGGTGTAATGTTAACTGTCCAAACACAGAGCACTAAGTCTCAGAACGAAAGGACTCCTCTCAAAATCTGAGCTTGGTGCTGCTCGGGGATTGTTCCCTCTTCTAAAACACAATTAACTTGAGACTTCAGAGGACTGAGTCACGTCAAAGTCTACAATGCATGGGAACTGGCCACGGTGGGTAAAACATCACTCACCCCTCAGCGAGGCAGGCCACTCCAGACAGCAGAACAGGCTGTGCCACAGAGCTAGTCCCACTCCTAAGATCCTCTCTCCAGGGGCCTCACCTCTGACCTCCTCAGACACTCGTGACCTGCACTCGTGACTACACACACACACACACACACAGTTACACACAGCCACACACACACAGTTACACAGCCACATACACACAGTTACACAGCCACATACACACAGTTACACAGCCACACGTAGTTATACAGCCACACACACACAGTTACACAGCCACACACACAGTTACACACAGTCACACACACAGTTACACACAGTCACACACACACAGTCACACACAGTTACACAGCCACACACACACAGTCACACACACACAGTTACACACAGTCACACACAGTTACACACAGTCACACACACACAGTCACACACAGTTACACAGCCACACACTCACAGTCACACACACACAGTTACACAGACAGCCACACAGCCACACACACAGCCACACATACACAGTTACACACAGTCACACACACAGTTACACATAGTCACACACATATAGTCACACACACAGTTACACATAGTCTCACACACACATAGTCACACACACAGTCACACACAGTTACACAGACAGACACACAGCCACACACACACAGTTACACAGACACACACACAGTTACAGCCACACACAACCACACACAGTCACACACACAGTCACACACACACAGTTACACATCCACCCACACACAGCGTTACACAGCCACACACACAGAGTTACAGCCACACACAACCACACACAGTCACACACAAACACACAGAGACACACATATGCAGTCACATACAGTCACACCACACAAAGCCACACACACACAGTTACACAGCCACACACATAACACACACACACTGTCACACACAAACACACTTGCACAACCACATACAGTCATGCCACACACACAGAGTCACACACACAACACCATACACAGAGAAAATTTAATGACTAATAATAAATCTTTGGGGCAGGAGAGACAGCCCAGTGGTTAAGAGCACTTGCAGAGGACCCAAGTTCTGTCCCCAGCACCCACACAGTGACTCACAACCATCTGAGCTCCAGTTTCAGGGGCTCTGATGCCTTCTTCTGGCCTCTTCAGCCACTAAACACAAAAAATATGGTGCAAATACATTCATGGAAGCAAACACTCATACACATAAAAAAAACCTTCAGGAAATGAATCAAAAAAAAAAGAACAAGAAAATCTAGGTGGCAATAAAAACACAATAATGACACATTTGAGTGAGACTTAGTGAAGGACATTTTGAAAAAGAGTGGCCGTGGGTTATATTGTTATATAAAAAGCTGTTGTTTTATCATTTGACAACACTGCCCTGTTTCACTGCAACAGCTGTTCTGCCTATCGAATTGTTTTGTTTGACACATAGTCCATACATGTTTAGGAGGACATGTAGAATAGAATTATATTAGAAAAATATAGCATTGGTTAACTGATGTAAAGTGACAAACAAATCCATTCCCTTTGAAGCCTCATGTGGCTTCATGTGAACTATGCTGTAACCTGGGAGTGGCCCAGCCACATTTAGAAGCCTGTCATACCAGCAAGTGGCTGATGGGGCTGCTCAGCAGTAACACTGGTTTCATTTGAGCTATAAAAGTTATTGCAGGCGACATTGGCACTAATAGTAATAATTTAGCAAATTGGAGTCAGTATCCACGTGTCCGTGGATGACTTAGTGTGCTCATGCAGTTGAGACAATTAAGACCGGATGTAGCGGCTTCTCCTATGACGGAGAGTAACCACGCGCTGATTAATGAAGGTACACGGCTGAGCAGAGAAAGCTATCAAAGCGGCCAAACAAAGGTGCTAAAACAAGGGCGATAAATGTTTTACGGCAACAATGTGGGCTTGTAAAACAGTCTGGTGCTCCCCTCATGGTGCCCCATGATTGAGACTACTAATCCTGAGCCAGCACACGCGTGAGCCAAATCATTCTGATGTGTGAAGCCAAGTGAAGTATGACTCTGTGAAGTGACCAGGAAGTACCCTGGGTTTTACATTAACAAGTAAGAAAACAAAGCTATTAAGAGTTTGCTGGACAGTCGGGGACAGGGTCATATTCCTGAAGATCTGCCCTCAATACAGAACACGGGAAACTCAGTTGACGGGCACAGTAAAGCGAGTGACCAGGACCCAAGCACAGAGTCTGAGCACAAAAGTGTACCCACTGCCTACAGAATGCGTGGATGGTAGATTTACATGCTAACCACCTGGCTCTCCGGCAACTATAAAACTAGCTGGATGGGATCTACTGGGATGCTTCTGTGACAGTAACAGAACACTCAACTGCAATGCGTAAATGGGATGGGGCATGCTGTCGGCCACTGGACGGTCACCCCCGGTCTCTGGCCTTCCCAGGAGCTGCAGCCATTTGTCACAGCCCTGGGCATGTCACCTCACTACCAAGTTCAAAAGGAAGCAGGAGGCAGGGGTACAGCTGCCAAAAGTGCCTCTTTCATAGAGTTCACAAACTTCACTCATACTGTCTGTCTGTCTCATTAAAAAAGCTTTCGTGGGGCTGGAGAGAAGGCTCAGCTAAGAGTGATTACTGCTCTCAGACGACCTGAGTTGGCCCAGGTCTGGCGGATGACCACTGCCTGTAACTTCCGGCAGAATTTACACTATGCAATGGTAACATGACGGAAAATGAAGCACTTGAGTGTGTGTGTGCGTGCATGCAGAGTCCTGGCTGAGTATGTGCAAGGCCCTAGAGAGGAGGAGAGGGAGGAAGGGGTAAAGGGAGAAAGATTCAAGGCATACGTTGGTGCATGCCCATCATCTCAGCCCTTGGAAGGCTGAGGCAGGAGGGATCAGACTGCAAAACCAGCTTGGGTTACACCGTAGGAGCCTGTCTCAAGACTTGTCCCTTATGGGGCTGGAGAGGTGGCTTAGAGGTTAAGGATACTTGCTCTTGCGGAGGACCTGAGTTTGGTTCCCAGCACCCACATGGTGACTCCCAATCACCTGCAACTCCAGTTCCAGGGATCCAATGCTTTCTTATGCACCCACAGACGTACATGATCATGCATGCAGGCAAACGCCCATACGTACAAATTAAATTTTTTTTAGACTGCCCCTTTGCCAGGTGGTGGTGGTGGTGGTGGCAGTGGTGGCAGCAGCGCACGCCTTTGATCCCAGCACTTGGGATGCACAGGCAGGAAGATCTCTGAGAGTTCAAGGTCAGCCTGGTCTACAGAGAGACTTCCAGGACAGCCAAGGCAACACTGAGAAACCCTGTCTTGAAGAAACAAAAACAAAACAAAACAGAAAAACCCTGCCAGGACAGTGGTGCACGCCCTTAAAATCCAGCACTCTGGAGGCAGAGGGAGGTTGCTCTCTGTGCGTTCACAGCCAAACTGGCTTACACAGTGAGAATCTTCCTAGTGAGAAGATTGCTCCTGAAAACATGGCAGAGAGGCGGGTGGAGAGGCCAGACAGGAAACATCACCTCAGCAACTGAGGGGGGAGTGGGAGAGGGAGAAGACAGCGAAGGCCAGGTGCTGACTTACTTTTTGGTGAGCCGAGGATCCAGAGGAGGGTGCTGAGCTCCATACACAGGCTGAATGCTAAAAGCAGGGGACACAAGTTTAGTGAGGAAGCTAAATGCACCAGTCGAGAACCTGATGTCACACCAAACTCGTGGGACTTGGAAAATAGCCCGCTTCCAAGAATGACACCTAAGTCATTCCAGAAGACGGTAGCCTACCCTTCCAGAAGGCTCTAAATGATGCTCATTTTCCCTGGGGAAGTATCAGTGCCTTAGCGTTCCCGCCCAGCAGGCAGTCCTATCCAACGCAGCACAGGCCCGGCAGATGCCTTGGCTGGTAAGTGTTTGCCAACCACGTCCAATGACCAGTCTAACTTATGGGCAGCAGGCATCACTGGGAGAGGCCTGCTCTTATCTGAAGGGAGGCGGAAGAGCAGGGGACTGAGGGCAGAGAGGAAGCAGGGGCTGGAGGAGAGGCAGGAGGGGATGCTGCAGCCTCAAAGTATCGTAGGAGAGAAGAATTTGTTTTGTTTTGTTTTGTTTTTCCAGGCAGGGTTTCTCTGTGGCTTTGGAGCCTGTCCTAGAACTCACTCTGTAGACCAGGCTGGCCTTGAACTCACAGAGATTCGCCTGCCTCTGCCTCCCGAGTGCTGGGGTTAAAGGCATTCGCCGCCAACGTCCAGCAAGAAGGATTTTTTTTAAAGTGGCTCTTCTCACTTCAAATGGTCTAATTAAAAAAAAAAATCACAGTTAGGCAATGGTGGTACATGCCTTTAATCCCAACGGAGACAGATCTCTCAGTCTAAGGTCTACAGAGCCTGCCTGGTCTACAGAGCGAGTTCCAGGACAGCCAGGGATACACAGAGAAACCCTGTCTCAGAAAACAAACATAAAAATTAAAAGAAAGATAGATCTCTCACTGTTGTGCCCAGCCATTTGGGTTGAGCTGATTCCAGACGCAGCCGAGCTGACTAGTAAGACTAGCCTCACAGATGCAGAACTGTAGCATAATGGCTCCATATATTTTGTAAAGCTAATAAAATTAAGCTGTGTTCACATATTTGCATCTATGGTACGGGACACACCAGGGGCTGTGCTTTGGTGGTAAGGCTGCAGACTGGGGCAGGCCGCAGGGAGAGTACTCTCCCTGCAAACCTTGTGCCTTTCTGGGGTAGGCGCTTCTGCAGGCATCACCTTTACAGGACACGAACCAAGCAATCCTGAAAGCCTTGAGAGGCTTGGCTCAGCCCAGGGATTGGTGAGCAGGCTGTGGGTGGGACGGAACACCAGAGAACTCCACCCGGCACACTGCCAGGAGACCCTGGCTTGCTTCCTGCCTCCCTGTTTATAGTTTAATCCTCACCCAGTGTTTAGGAAACACAACAGGTTTACCAAGTCTCTTTTTCAGACTTTACTTTTTTTTTTTTTTTTTTTGAGGCAGGGTTTCTCTGTGTAGCTTTGGAGCCTGTCCTGGAACTGTAGACCAGGCTGGCCTCAAACTCACAGAGATCGCCTCCCTCACCCTCCCAAGGAGTGCTGGGATTAAAGGTGTTTACCACAACCACCCGGTTGGACTTACTTATTTTCATTCATGTATCTGCCTGTGTGCCTGTATGAGCGTGTATGTACCCCATGCATGCATGCAGTGCCCTCAGAGGCCGGAAGAGGGCATAAGATCCTCTGGGACTGGAGTTAAAGATTTTTGAACAGCCTGGTGCACAAGGTGGCTTTTCCTACCTGTCACACTAGGAGGAGGAGAAGTATTCAGGGGTCAGGATGACTCCTTGGAAAACTGATTCCTTGTCCCCAACACTGGCTATCCCCTGACCTGAGGATGTGAGGAGTCAGACCACAGGAGGCCAACACTAGGCCCCTTGCAGCTTCAAGGAGCCCAGGTAGCCCCTGGAGCCGTCTTGCAAGCCATGGCTGCCATCCAGCACCAGACTCCACACCGGTCCTGATGTGATGGAAACTCCCTTACGTCAAAAAAAGGCAGCAGTAAGCTGAGCAGTGGTGGCACGATCCTTTAATCCCAGCACTCCTCGGGAGGCTGAGGCAGGCAGATTTCTGTGAGTTTGAGGCCAGCCTGGCCTACAGTTCAGGACAGGCTCCAAAGCTACACAGAGACACCCTGTCTCAAAAACCAAAACAAATAAACAAACAAAACCAGATAGTTTGAACCTCATTGGGTGCTGTGAACTGAGCAGGCGCTCTGTGGGAGCGGTGAGCCATCTCTCCAGCCAAGTTCACCAGCACTCTGCTTCTTAGGACAGGAAATCCTTAAGATGTTTTCAGATAAGAGTGTGGGTGGAAGCCGGGCGTTGGTGGCGCACGCCTTTAATCCCAGCACTCGAGAGGCAGAGGCAGGCGGATCTCTGTGAGTTCGAGGCTAGCCTGGTCTACAAGAGCAAGTTCCAGGACAGCCTCCAAAGCCACAGAGAAACCCTGTCTCGAAAAAAGCCAAAAAAAAAAAAAAAAAAAAAGAGTGTGGGTGGATCAATCATTTCCGCATGATACCCTTTTCACTTCTCAGAGTAGCATGTAAGATGTTAGATACCATTGTGGCAGTTTCAAACAAAGTGTCCACACTGTTTCTTTTAGTTCAGAAGGAATCTTCTCCCGTGTGAGTCTCAGTTCTGGACATTCTGGACCTTTTCAGCTGTAAGAATGTAACTCCCTGAGCCTCTCTGGAAGATTACAAAGTCATTCATCCCATAGGCTGCCACTGAAGCACTAACCCTGAAAGGCTACGGTGATATGTGTGTTCCTGGCATTTCCCAAGCACAGGAGGACAGGAAAAAGCCTATCAGTACCAGAGTACTGGGAAAGTCTGGGTCACAGAGAGGGAGGGGAAGGCTTAGACAAAAACAAAAATTAAAACACAACCACAGATACCCAGAAGGCCATGGGTTTGCATTTTAACATTTTCAGATTCTCGGACTCCAGCATTTGAACTCTCAAGTCCTAAGCCCTCAGAGTCAAACATTAAAAGCCAAACAAGGCAGGAGGCTCCCACCAGGTCAGTCAGGGCAGCTGCCTGGATAAAACAGTAAGATCCTTGGAGTCTCTCGAGAAAAGGCAGACCTAATGTATGGGCCTGCAGGCCAGAGGCCGTTGGCCATGAGCAGGAGGAGAGTTCTCAAAGATGTTGGCTGATGCGCTGGCACAGCCAGAAAGGCTGCGATACATGACGGCCTCGGCAGCGGAGGCAGCGGAGCCCAAACTCAATCTGTTAGCACGTTCTAGAACTACACCAGGGTTAGCAGAAGTGGGAAACTTTGTATAATAAATCAGTTTGCCGAACCTCAACAAAGACGGGTGGGAAGTTAGCAAAGGAGAAATGACGATTATCACAGCCGCTGGGTGAAGACAGGCTACAAGAGCAGGAGAGCAAAGGTGTCCATTGCTGACTGCAGAGAGACGGCTCAGTGGTTCACAGTGCTGACTGCTCTTCCAAAGGTCATGGGTTCAATTCCCAGCACCCATATAGTAGCTCAAAATCCCATTTTCAGAAGACTGGGCACCCTTTTGTGTCCCAGACATATACATGAAATAATTTTAAAAAAAACATTTAGTATAAAGCCAGGCATTGGTGGCACATGCCTTTAATCCCAGTACTCAGGAGGCAGAGGCAGGAGGATCTCTGTGAGCCCTAGGCCAGCCTGGTCTACAGAGTGAGTTCCAGGACAGCATCCAAAACAATACAGAGAAACCCTGTCTCGAAAAACAAAAAACAAAACAAAACAAAAAATTTAGTATAGTAACTCACCTATGAGCATGCGCTAACCAGGCCCGTGAGAGCCCCACTCAATACCTGGGAAAGCTGGCCTCCACTACACTTTTAAATAGACATTCATCATTGCAGGGTTAGGGTAGGTGACGGAGTACACTTGTAGTTCTGTAACTTGGGAAAGCTGAGGCTAGCCTTGGCTACACGGAGTATACCAGGCCAGCCTGGACTACAGTATGAGATGTTTTTGCTCGAAGTGTAAAAGCGTTCTGCCGGGTTCTGGTCCAGTTAGGACACAGCAGCTGGGGAGTTGGTGCCAGCTGTCTCTCCCTGTGTGAACACGGTACGGACCAAAGCAAACTACATCCCAGGAGCCTACAGAAAAGTGGTGGCTTCTTGAGCCCCAGGAAGGCGCTTGGCTCCTCCGCCTGTCACCAATGCTTCATGGTGTTCGTCGAGAAAACCTGGAAAAAGTATGCGGGAGGGAATCCAGTTTGTGTGCCCAACTCCAAAGAGGCACTGGCGGACTCTCCAGGCTGTCCCTAAGGACTGAGAGGCGCGCTCCTGAAGAAGAGTGGAGCACAGGCTTAGGAGCAGAAGCGTGCCCTTTGCCACCTGATCACAGAAGATGAAAATGAATTGAACAAACTCATCTCCACTCTACTTAGGGATTCTGGGATGTAAATTTGGGTAGATGTGTTTGTTCAATTGGCTTGCTGAATAGGCATTTAGCTAAGGGGGGGCACTAAAATTTAGCCATTCAAAAGCAACTGGCTATAAAAAGGGAGAATTTTTATAATTTGTAAATTATAATCGCATACTTGACTTTATATGTCATATGCTGCTTCTTTTACCACTATTTTCAGACAACAAAGCAAAGTGCAGGTAAAAAACAACAAACACCCATGAAGTAAAGGGTGTGGCCTCATTTCAACAGCTGCCACGTTCCCAGCCCCTGGGGAACACGGGGTACAGGGAGACCACGGTGTCCACCACCCCCACAGTCCTCTCGTACCCCACTTCCGCCATGCTAGCCATCCCTAAGGTACAGGCAGGGCCCTGCCGTCCATCCCGCTCTTCCTTCCCAACTGCTCTCTCCTTGCTGTCTGTGGGCTGTGTGTGCCGACTCTGCCTGTAAGCGCGGGTGCCGTGCCACGTAGGTGGAGGTCAGGGAACAATTTTCAGGGATCGCTCCTTCCACCGTGGGCTCCGGGGATCACACCCAGGCTGTCAGGTCTGTGGGAACAAGTCTCTTTCCCACGGAGTCTGATCACCAGACCTAATTAATCCTAATTAACGTCTATGTGTCTTTCTTCTTCTCCCTCCTCCTCCTCCTCCTCCTCCTCCTC